GAATTAACAAGAAATATACCGAAAGCTTAACAATATTTGTTAAGAAATGTTTATGAAAAGAAAGCCGGATAGTACGAATAAAAATAATATATTATTATAAAAGAATTTTTTGTTTTCATAATAACATAAACGTCAATGTTGTATTTAGTAATGAAAAAGTCGTAGAATAATTTAAGAAGACACAGAAAAATTTACTATACTATATGTTATGTGTGTGTGTGTGTTTAAATAAACATTCAAATTTCAAATAAATTGGTTTCTCTAATTTATATTTATATTTAATCAAAGTAATTTTATTTTTTTATTTTTTTATTTTTTTTATTAAATAAAACAAAATTTAATGAAAATAATTGCCAAACGAATAACCGATTTTCATTGGATAACACTTTTTAATGACCGAGCAAAATCCGTGAAAATTTAACGAAGGCGCACTATGATTTTTCTCTTCTATGTGCGCAGTTCACTGAGTCTTTCTCTCGCTTGTAAGTGAGAATTCATTAGAAAGCCTCGAGGGAATAACATTTAAGGGATACTATCAGGTTAACGGTTCGTTCGTTTCTATGCTAGAATAGTGAGAGAAAGCAAAATAAAGAGAGAGAGAGAGAAAGAGAGAGGGAGGGAGAGAAGAGAAAGAGGATACAATGCTTTCGGACATTTGGATGGTTGGAAATCAGTGATTCGCGGTGCACGAGCCATAAAACTCAGTGTACACCCCATAAAAATATCCGGGACGTGAGCGTACAAAGGGAGACCCCATCCGATTCACCGACGCACCTCGCGGTGCTATTTTATTTTCTACGACCCCGCGTGTCACGCGGCTTGCAGGACATTATTCGAAATTAATTCCGCGCGTGGGAAATGGCCGTGCATTCCTCGTCGTCGTTCTCGTTTCTCTCTTTCTCTCTTTCTCTCTTTCTCTCTTTCTCTCTTTCTCTCTTTCTCTCTTTCTCTCTTTCTCTCTTTCTCTCTCTCTCTCTATCTCTTTATCTCTCTCTTTTCCTCTCACACACTTTTGCGTTCTTTACCTTCTGTACTGCTGGATGTTCATATATCAGTCATCGCATGATACGTTTCTGTCTACAAATCTCTACGTTCTCTCGTTTTAATCGTAATAAAATAGAACATCACTTCCATACAGACTAATATGAGAAAATAATTATTGACAAAAAATGAATTTTTCTTTAAATACAATAGATTTTTACAATATATATATATATTATATTTAAATTGTATTATAAAATAATGCGTGTTCTCTAAACTATAAATATATCTGAACTGTACGAAGTTTCAGCTTGAACTGATTTTGATAATGACTTATATGTCATTAATGGTACGAATGTTTACTTTAAGATGGTCGATGAGCGTGATCTGTTAAAAGTAAACACGAAAGTATAAGAAACGTATTGCTAACACTTTGGCTCGTAATCTATTATTGAAAAGAAAATTTAAACAAGTATTTATAATATTAAAAAATATTTAAAACTCGTATGTGTCAAACGGTATAATGAATAATATATAATGAATAATATGATATAATATATAATATGGAATAATGAAAAATATATAAATTATTCGAAAGAAAGTAAATATTTTATTAGCAATATTTATAAAATAATAATACATTATAAACTTTCTCTCTCTCTCTCTCTCTCTCTCTCTCAAATACATCTAAAGCATTATAATTAGGTATCTTGATCCATAGTATTATTTCGTTTTAACGTTGAGGATTATCAAAGATTACAGAGGAATATCTATTTCACTCGTCAGTGAAGCGCTAAAACTGATTCGAAAGCGATTTAATCTGCAACAAATGAGGATTCACGTCAAAATCCTCTTATTTATTTTTAAAATATACTTATTTAGATTTGTATATTTATATATTTATATGACCTATAACATTTACATTATAGATTCTGTAAGCTATGGCACATATATGGAAAATAAATTTAAAGCTTGATAAAAAGTGTTCACCTATATTTTTTCATATAAATCCACATAGTAAACTTGTTATTTAACTTTGAGTAAGAATAAAGTAAAAGAATATAATTGACAGTTTAAATGTTCCTTTCGTAAGGATTTGAAAATTTAATTTTTTTAAAGTACAAAAATTAAATAAAATTTTTTCGAAAATTCACAAGTAACAAGCTTTCCTCTCGAGTTACGGGGTCATAACCATCAATTTGTTATTAGATTAAACTTTAATCCTTTAAATAAAAATGTAACATTATTGTAAACAAGTGACAATTACTTTAAGGATGAAATCACGTGATCGAATGGAATAATGGAAAACAAATTGCAACACGTTGCTGCGTGACTTATTAATTCCACGCGGTCGCGAAAATGAGCGCCATAGGGAAGAGTTTTAATTAAGTACAGTCCTGTATATCGAAAAACTTCGTCGACGCGTAAAATGAATGATCGGAAAATGAAAATCAGATTTTATTTTATATCAATATATTCTTCGATAAAATTTAAAATTATTATTATTTAAATACTTTTTATTTTTGTAATAAAGATAAAAATAAATAATGCTGCTTGAGTCGATTTTAATATACGTATACATTAATATCAATATTTATAATACTTAAATGTCCTAAAATTTAAAATCATACTTTAATTTTAAATTTAAATTATAATACGATGTTGATCATATTGGAACGGTTTAATTATAGTAATATAATTTCTTCATTTTAAATACGAAATATATATAAATATATAATCGAGTATAGTATCGATCGTATAGTAATATATTAAGGTAAGACAGTAAATCGATTTGTCTATTAATTAGTACAGACCAGATGTGCCATTTAATTCGCTAGTAGTCGTCGAGTAGTAATCGACATAACTCAATTAGATACTCGCAAAGCGGCATTTCCTTCGAAACTGACGTAAGCCAGACGAGCCCGATACAATGATGCGAGGGTAGGAAGCAGTAGGAAACATGGAGGGGTGAGATGAATGAAAGGTGTTAGGAAGGAGAAGGAAGGTGCACACGGCAGGTGGTGAAACTAATAGGACGTTTCTTAAGACTGAATTTAACTAGATTGGGATATGAAGCGGCAGCAAGTTCAATGAGTAACTCGAGTTGCTAATGGAGCAGGTACTTATGGTTATTATATCATTTCGAACATTTCAACGACAGTAATTATAATCTCATGCAAGGTTAGCAATTAGAGAAGACGTTTTTGGCAACCGATCTCACATCGTTACACTACCTGCATTCGCTTAACCTAACGTGTTAGAACTTTTTATTACATTGAATATAATAATTTCACGCTGTTTTTGGCATACTGTAATAATGTATAAGATTATCAAATTATAATATTGTCATTATAATATAGTTATTTATAAAATATTACATATATATGTAAGATTTATTGAATTTAATAGAAGTATTTATTATAATAGAACAAATACTTAAATATTAAGGTTTAACATATAAGAATAAAGAGATAGAAGTCGAAAAGAAAAGTAAGTAACAATAGTTAGGAATCTTAAGCTCGTAATTACATTCGTATTACAACTAGTCACACCGAATCAAAAAGGCGAAGGCTGCCTTTTTCACCGTGCTTATATACACATTACCCCACCAATGGTCCTAATCACTTCCGTCAATCTTTCTCGAAATCTCTAGACTATTCTCAATCGATTAAACAAAGGACTTCTTTCCGATTTCTGGTTCGAGAATATTCGAAAAATTTTGCTTAGCTTACCAAACAATAACATCAGACGATATCGTTATACACGCTCGCTTTTCTTTCCTTACACAAACACACTCATATTCATATCGCTACATATACTCACACTCATATTCATAACGCTACATATACTCACACTAATATCCATATCGCTACTTGACTCGCAAATCTTTCAACGTTCATCAATTGTTTCACGCAGACTATACACTCGACTCTTCATCTTTCTCCCACCCTTACATAAATGTATATATATATTAGGGTGGGTCAAAAAAATGACTTATTTTTTTTTTTTCAAGTGCCACGCAAAAATGGGTTCCTAGTCACCTTAAAAGAATTCTCACCCAATATGAGCTCTTAATTTTAATAGGAAGATCCTCCGCATTGCAGTTTTTTATTTTTTTTTCACTCCAATAGATTAA